ATGATACTGTACGGAACGGGAAAAGCGTTTTATGTAGGGGTCAGCTCAAGGGCTTGTGTTACAATAGGATCGTGGCATGCAGTGCTTGACAAAGTGGCATGTCGGTCAGAATATCAACGATAATATGACAAACCCTGTTACCAACATCCTGTCAACCCGCTCGGGTACATGCATATCTCCGATCACGCCGATTCGACTGTTCCGCACTTTACATCAGCCCTAGTCTTATTTTGGAACACTACCCCTCATAAAGTTCGAATTATTTTTTGTATTTCAACAACTCTCAATTCTGATTTTCTACAAATAATTTGCAAACAGACAAAACAAATACAAAGTTTCACATAATTTTACTTCTAAAAACTTTCTGACAGTATCTTTTACAAAAACTATTCGTTCAAAAAACTTTACAATATGCCTATTGACTTTCAACTCTCTGCATCTGAGGATGGCATCCGAAAACATGCAGCTGCATTCGCTGCTGGCCCTCTAAAAGACATCAAGAAGGTTTACTCCGCAAAGAAAGACGAGCAACAATTTCAATCATTGAAGCCTTTTTATGCTGATGCAACAGCTGGGGGCATGATCAAAGGCTTGATAGGACCTCATCTTGGAGGAGCAGGTGGAAGCTTAACTGAAGAAACTATCTTAGTTGAAGAGATGTATGCTGTCGACCCTTCCGCATCTTTGACAATCTTTGCAACTGGATTGGGGTTGACACCATTGAACTTGGTTGGAAAAGAAGAGCACAAAGAATTCTTGGAACCATTCTTGAATGGTAAAGGGGCACCATTAGCAAGTTTAGTATTCTCCGAACCAGGAGGAGTTGCAAACTTTCTAGAGAAGGGTGCTCCGGGGCTTAATACAACGGCCACACTTGAGGGTGATGAATGGGTTCTTAATGGAGAAAAGGTAAGAAGAACTTAAAGAAATCCGAACCTACATCTGGAACTGAAACTAATCCGAAAAACAGATGTGGGCTACCAATTGTGCAGGCTGGGACTTTGAAGGTGCAGACCTTCAATGTATAGTCTGCCGTGATCCAAGTGTTACTTCAGATGACCCCGCCGACGCAATCATGTTACTGCTCGTAAGCAGAGCCGATATTGAACGCAATGAAAAGGGAGCATTCAAAACACTCAAACATGTAGCAACTGCCGGACACCCCGCTTGCTCTGGCCCACATATCAAATATACCAACTTAAGAGTTCCTACCAAGAACGCTCTATGTCCACCAGGTCAAGGTGTTTCTGTAATATCTAGAGCATTTGATTGTTCAGCTGTTTTGGTCGGTGCCATGAGTGTCAGTGTTATGAGAGCCGCTTTTGAGGCAGCTCTAGCATTTGCCAAAGCCGATAACCGTAGAGGAGCAGAAAATTTGTTGTCAAGACAAGCTTTCGCAGATATTCTAAGCGGTATCAAAATGAAGACAGAAGCTTCCAGAGCTTTGACATGGAAGGCAGCTCATACCCTTAAGAATGGACCAGGTGATTATAATGCCAGACGTGAATTGGCATTGGCTGCGAAGATTTATTGCTCAGAAGCGAGCGTCAAAGTAGTTACAGAGGCCATTAATGCTGTTGGAGTGTAAGTTCCTTTTCCCACCATTCTCCACAAATTATGGAAGTCACTAATAATCTGCTATAGAACTGCATATAGTACCGAGCAGCCCTTCGGAGACCTATTGAACACAGCCATTGTCTTACCAATTTTCGACGGTGGCAATGTAGGTATTCGGAGACGGCATATGCAAGAACTGATGGCATCAGACTCGTATGATCCTTGGGCTTCTTCCTTTGGCCCATCCAAAGCCTAGAATTAGGAAACCCGAGTTGGATCTGCTGGTTACTTCGTGAGGGAAATGCGATTGCATGTATACCGAGTTTTGCAATCTATATGCCAATGTAAAAATACCGTAATTTAGATAGACGTTCAAAATAAGCAACAAATGTCTTTTCATTGTCATACAGGACTTCGTGATGCCCAGAGTGCATAATTGCCAAAATCATACCGTTGAGAGAAAACTGTGATTGCGTGCCTTAGGATATCTTTTTCTATCCAACCAAGCTTCCAGTTGGCGCTAAGGCAGTCATTTCCCGAAATGGTCAGTTGTGGAGAAGCTTAAATGCTTACATAAGACGATACAGTAATACCGCAAGATGATTCCACTACCAACTGCAACACAACCTTTACTACATTGATCTGTATCGATTGCGGAATTATCTACGCTCATCACCGTCGCTGACTTATATTTTGGTCGTTAATGATCGTATCCTTGGACATCCCTCTTCATATTGCTAGAGTATATGCTTATTTTGGGCGTATGATCGATCCAACGTCGCCATTCTACAATCCTTGACAAGCACTTGCCACAATATATAGTATCAGAATTGATCCAACTACTTCGTGTTTCTGGACAGGAGAGAGACTGTTCTAGGGTATCATCAATTGCAATATCGGCGATAAATACCGTTCATCAGATCACGACATGGATTACGACAGATCTTACAATGGTAACACAACACCGTAGGATCATACAGCACATACCCCATCCACCCCTTACCTTTGCATCAAAAGCAGTCAGAATCCCTTCAACTCCGTGACTCCGTGGCTACTTTGCGTTTTATGCTTTATTCGTCAAGGACAAGGATATATGAATCTCACCATCACATCGTGGCAACTAGGTCCTGTCGAGCACTACTAAGATTCCTGTACGTCTATCGCTGTAATGATACCCCAATCCTAGAGCTACGGAGCGCTTGCAGTTCTTGGCTCTAAGTGACCATAGAGTGAATCCTTACATAAATAAGGTCTAGTGCATCCACGGCCGTCCCGAAGTGGGGCCTAGTTTTGATCAAAATATACGATATGTATATGGTAATATACCTCCTCACAAGCAAAACCTCCACATAAGCGTACGGCACAGTATACCTATTTCTACCACTTTCAGATCGAGTTCCTCCAGTTCTCTATCCTCGCAAACACATACATTCTTCGAATCAACAAGAAACACAATCATGTCTTCCCCAGGACCTCTTTTCATTGTCGGTACCGGCCCCATGATCGGATCTCACATCCCCCGCCTTTTCGTGACCCACACTTTCACACACATTGCACTCTTTGCACGTTCTGAATCCACCCTCTCTGCATCCCGCGACTTCATTGCCGCCGCAGCTCCATCAGCTAAAATTCACACCTACACAGCTGATGTGACCGATACCCCCGGTCTGACATCCGCTCTTCAGACCGCCGTTAAAGAAGTCGGGTCCCCAGAAGTAGTAGTCTACAATGCGGCCCGTGTCAGCTACGGAAATTTCGGCGAGTACAGCGAAGCCGACATTATCGAAGATTTCAAGATTCCGAACTTGGGATTATACACAACCGCAAAAGTGTTGCTTCCAGGTTTACAAGCATTGGCAAAGGAGAAGCCGGAGTCTCATCCTTCGCTTTTTGTGACCAGTTCGCCTATTATTTACCAACCTTTTGCACCTGTATTTTCACTCAGTATGGCAAAGGCTGCACAAGCAAACTTAGTTAAGTTATTGATTGAGCAGACGAAGGATGAGGTGCACGTTGCTCTTGTAACTATTGGAGGTCCAGTCAGCGAGCAAGAGCCTGTCAATAACCCAAAACATATCGCTACTAAGTTTTGGGAGTTATGGGAGCAGAAGAAGGGAAGCAGGGATGTTGAGTTGTTGGTCCAGTAAGGAACAGAACGGCGATTCTGCGTATATGGATCACTGCAAGGCTTTGAAAATAGATTGCACTGAGCTAGATATAATCAGCTTTACGACACCAATTCATGATAATGTTAGCATTTGAGCCATCTTTTCAATCACGGTCTACGTGTTTTCCACAATTGTGATTACAACTAGACTTGAGGTTTGGTGAAAGTCCACTAAGTCTACAGCTTCACAGACTTCCATTAATTGCAATAATTCCTTCACCAATTCCCATAAAGTTCGTCTCTTTCCTTTTATAAAATCTCTCTATCAAAGCTGTGAAAGATACTCGACATTCCTCTTGACTCCTCAATGTCTTCTGAGTGAAGCCCGCACAACTTGGAGTCCCTTTTCCAAAGAACAAGCGTGTGTTACCAGAGTTAGCATGCTCCAACGGCGAAAGTTCTGAGGTACTAGGTCTTTTGGTACCAAATACTCATTACAAAATCTTATTATCACCTACCACGCGTGATTACGTTAAATTCTCATCCTAGCCTCGCTATTCAAAGAGAGTCGTTCATTATCGCCAATATTTCATGCACTTTTCCTTCACCTACTATCTTATGAAATGCTTCCCATTCTTACAGCGGTCACTTTTATACCCAGTATCTCAGAGGTAGCAGAAATACATGGAAATATCCTCCCTTTCACTTTTTTCTCACTCATGTTTTACCGTCCTCTATCCCCGCTATTCGTCTTCCGCAATCTCTTACCATGACACGGTCTAGTTTTTTTTGGGTATCTTGACTCAACGAAGCAAGTCGATTTACCACTTCAGTTTCTTCACTAGTATCTTCGTTCCAAAATTGGTCGAATAGAAGAAAAATAGGAATGTACCGGGTTTTCGAGTACCTACTTTTGAGGCTTATTCTCTACGCGACTTACAATCGCCATTCTCTTAACGTCGTTGAGATTAGACGGTAGAGCTTATGCAGGAACCTATAAGGTTAAACGATGTCCATAAATCTTCACCCAAGCACCAGAACCACTTCAAATAGAGTATTTGATTCGTATTGGCTGCTTTGTAGTGATATGGGGGTCAGCGCCCTCAGCCTGACAATATTACCATGGAGGGCGAGCAAGGGCGATTATGCAGTACCAACACAACATTTTTCGCAGCGCAATGAAGAATTGTATAGTTCGCACTCTTCCCCCATCCAATTTTGAGCTTTCTTTCGCACTCATCACTACTTTTTGCCCATTCATTGGACAACTTCGACAGCCTTACCTTTTTTTTAACAGTAACACTCGGTTAACCAGCGCCCTTAGCGCATCGCCCTCATGCAAGCTGCACGCCACGAGACAATCTCTTGGGAAGAGATGGCTTTAGAGCCAATTGATCAAAATCAGCAAACTACTCCCCCAGATATTGGCCTGTTACCTTACCCTGACATGGGGTTTGGGAACGGGGCTGATTGGGTGAGTTTTTTTTTTCTTTCTAACTTGCACAGCCCACCAGGCCCAGTCTTTGCTCCGACCCCCCTCATGGTGCTATCGAATCATTTGGGGGCTTCTACCTCGCACCAGTCTCCAGTGGGTCTTTCGAAGTCGCGAGATCGGAGACATCAGTCGGCTTTCCGAATAGTGCGGTTACAATGTACCTTAATGCCGACTTTCACAGCTTTTCGGTTCCATACTTTCCAATCGAAGCGTCTGTTGAGAATGGAAACTTTCTGGGCATGAACATGAATGCTATCGAACTAGATTTCTTCAACGGATTCCCAAGCGTTGATTATGCCAATGTCATCGCCCCCAATCAACCGGCCCCTATGCTTGGCCCGGCCATATACCCACCACCCTTCATTAACCCAGGCAGTGCTTCCTACTTGCCTGCCCAAGCACCTGTTCAACAGCCCGTTCTTCCATCCGGACAACAAGCTCCTCAACGTACCACCTGTACGCGTTGCCCACGTACCTTCTCTCGTCGATCGGATCTTCCACGCCACATGGCATCTGTTCACGGAGTAGGACGTCGCGCTCATCAGTGTCCCAGACCCGGTTGTGGAAAGACCTACAGTAGAAGCGACAAGGTCTTGAAGCATAGAAGAAATGCAGGACATTAGTTGGCGAAGGATGCTGGATCGTTTGGCTTGACATGGATTTTTCGATTTGTGATGGATGGATAGGATGCGCAGAGAAGATATTATTTAGTTTATTCGGTGTCGCGCTTTTTTATGAAAACCACTTCTTTGCGTATGATGTCCCAAGTGTGAAGGCTCGGCTTGTGATGCTTATTTGAGTGCCTTGTCCAAGTAATGATCCCGTGATCGTCTGACATCCACTAAGCTGCGTTATGGTATGCAAATTAAAGGGTTAATATGAAGCCTAAAATTTGTATAAGTTCCATAAATCGATAGTTCATCATCCTGGTTGCTAAATACTATCACTATGTTTCAACGTTGGAAAGTTATTTTTGTATCATTTGATAGTTTGATCATTCTAGCCATCTCTACCAAAACTTCAAACTAAGGATCATTGTAGAAGTAATCTGCAATCCCATCTTCACTTAAAGAATATAATAGGAAGATGTGTGAAACGTGGCTACATGAGTTTACTCCACACAAATCGTGTAGTTCTATCCAACATGAGCTGTGAAAAACTGATTGGCGTGACAAACATCTCTCTTAAACCCGTAGTCGACGAGCTTGTAGTTTAGTATAAAGAGGCTGAAAGTACCCATTTACTAGGTTATTGGGTCTAGAAATCTAGCTTTATACTCGTTAACTACGAAATCAGCCTTCGTTTTCTGCAAATATGAACTTAATTAGACTGTAATAAATTAACATATTTATACTTTTTGTTGATTAATTTTTCCTACTCCATGAACATTCATGTCACCCGACCCGTGCGATTTCCTCAAATGCTTGAGAACCTTGGAAATACTGTTAAATTTAAGAGTGGGCGATCCATCCAGACTGGAAAGAGGTTATTGTTACATGTGCGAGGTTCTTGCCTTATGCACCCGAACCTTCATGGCACTTTCCATAGGAGCACCTTGTAACGTCGAAATTTTCTACTCATTTATCTTGTCGGTTTCTTAAGTTGCAGGAGCTACAACATCAAACATAATCAGTTTTGCACATCCTCATCGTAAACTCAAGTTTTGGAACAAGAAATTCTTATACATACAAACGATATTTGTTTCTTAGTTCTATCATCCGAACCTTTGAAGTAGCATGGTAGAGAACTTCCACGGCAGACGATATTTCCAAGCTATTCGTTATCCCAACCTCGCTTCTCTGGAAATGAACAGTTAGAGAATCGTTTTTCACTGAAGACGAAATCTTGACCTCTGAGCTACATATAATTTGCAACTTCGAAACCACAAGAATCGCTCAAGACAAGAGGGTTTCACTCAGTTTCGACCTCATTAATCGGTATCCACATCCTAGAAATTGAGGTCTGGCACCTAATTTTACCTTTTTGCCTCACTATGGATTCGAAAAACCCGCAAAGTACCAATTCAATTGAATCTCCAATTACATGTGTGTAGCATTAAGTTTCTAACAGGTCTATCTCCGCTTTTCCTCTCCGAGTCATCCATTGATACTCTACCTGACAAATTTTTTCCATATCACAGTTCGGCACACCAGTTGTTCCCACCACTCGAGAATAATATTCCTACTTTCCCTAAATTCAAGCTTTTGCCTCCTGAGATACAGACGATGGTCTTCAGGGAGGCTGTTCCTGATCGCAATTCAAAAGTGGCTGATTTCTACTTCGAATTCCATCATCACTCTGACAAGTGTTTGCTTTCAATTAACGATGAGATATCACCTGCGAGCCATTTACTGCCGCTTTTAAATGCCTGCAAACTATCACGAAAAGTGATTCATGGCCAGTTGAAGCACATCAGATTATCGACACCAGATCCGCGCGGTGAGATACGAAGATATAATGAGTATGGTGAGAGAATAGATATTCGTTATTTCTGGGCGAATGATAGACATCTCGTCCAAACGTACATCGATCCTGCGAGAGACACCCTGATGCTCAATATGTCAGATCTTGTATTGCTGAATCATTACGGAAGAAGCATAGATTTCTCCAACGTTGAGCGCCTTGCAATTACCTCATTTCCGACTGAATCTGATTGGCTTATCGAGAGTCTAGGGAGAAGATTTCACAAATTAGTGGACGGTCTTTTGCCAAGGTGTCTCGATATCAAAGTTCTTCAGATAGTATCGGATTTTCCAGTCAACGATTTTGCAAAGTGCTACCGCTCAGGCCAAAGGAGGGGGTATCATTTGATCGATTTTGACACAGAAATGTGGTATGACAACTATTGGGACAATTCTGGCTGCTTGATTGGAAGATCTCACATGCATCGCATTCACGATGTGCTTAGCAATGCTAAGACAAAGGAAATTGACTATCTAAGTCATCTAAAGGATTTACACATGGAACATAAAGGGAATTTTAAACGCTGGAAGGATATGAAGCTTACTACTGCGTTACTTTGCGAGCTTGATGCCGATTCTAATTGGGAAACTTTGGGGAAGAAGGCGCCCGAGCCTAGGCTTTACTGTTTCTCTTTCGACGCGTGGACTCTAGCCCATGAAGATGGATCGCCGTTGAATAAATATAAGGGACTCGCACAGATTTTTGAAGGGGTTCCGTGGTAGACTGTGCTTGGTTAGTATCTGTTACGTCTAGTACAGGATATCTCTTGAGAAAAGAGCCGAGTTTTGTGAACTAAGAAAGCGAGGGGATGCCGAAGACACCAAGGGCTTTTAGCTCAATTGTCACAGAGAATATGGCTTTATTGAAAAGGTTTTAAGTTTAGTATCGATATGTCACTTTTTTTAACAGAGAAAATCTTGCACACAAAGGATACGATGGGGTAGGAATGTGAGTTCCCTTCTGTGATCAAAATTTAGAGAAACAGGATGACTAGGGCCCATTCACAAGTTAGAATCTGGGTCTATGAGGCCATGATATCACTGAAAGGTAGATGTCAATGAAAACAATGTTTTAAGCCCCTTTATCTTGACATTACATCCACGTGATCAACCCCCGATGTGCTTGAGCTTATGAGCGGCCCAGACGTTGAACCTATTCAGAATTCCAATATCTCTCTGCATTGACTGTCCCTTCAAAGATATTCTATTGATATGTTGATTATTCATATCCATTCCTACCCTTCACTATACTGAACGCTCCTCCTCCCTTTCCAAACATAGCTCTTAAATCTCGCACCAACAGATCCGGTTTCTCATGAGAATAGAAATGTCTAACAAACTCATTAGCAGGAGCTCGGTCATATTCGGAACATGAAACTCACCCTCCACTATCATTCTCAACTTCATACACCACATTTCCAAGTGTCCTACCCCATCGCTTTGGAACGTTCTCCAAATCCTTTGGATTGTATGCCAGGCCTAATTTCACATCTGCTGTCCATTGCTGTAGTTTCTCAACCGTACATTCCTCATCTTTTGACGTGTGCACAGTTTCATAGTAGATTCTTTGCGCAGCTCCTGGCCCTGCGGTGCTAAAGTAGTATATACTCACCCAGGTTAGAATTTCGTCATCTGTCCATGGATACTCATCAGACCAATCATGCAGTTTCTCGTATATCCAGCCCAAAAGCGCGACTGGGGAATCGTCTAGTCCATATGCTAGGGTCTGAGGCTTGGTGGATTGGAGTACATTGTAGCCTGTTAATGTCAGTTCTGGACTGATGAGTATAGATGACACTGTCAAGCAACAAGGAGCTATACCTCTACTCTCAGCCTGAAACCATTTTCGTCTCTCAACAGTTCGCTTTTCCAGCTCGCTGTAGGGCATAAACATATCTCCAATCTTTTCAATTGGATTACGAAATAGCGTAGGAGGCTGCGCATATACCATATTGAGATGACTGGCTTTGCAGTGTTTCGGGTACAATTTTCCTATCGCTCTGGTGATCCAAAAACCCCAGTCTCCCGCTTGAGTGACATATTCATCGTACCCAAGTTTTAACATGAGCTTATTGAGAGTTTCTGCATACTGAGCCATTGCGAACCCTCTATTTTTTACGCCGGAGCTAAATCCGAAATTTGGCAGAGATGGGGCAACGATGTGGAAACTGGGGTGTGGGGAAGATGTGGAGGCGGGGCTTTGCAAGTGGGGGAGAATTTTGAGGACTTCGAGATAGGAACCGGGCCCTGATAATTGCTTGTAAGTGTGAATTTTGAGAGGAGGAGTTTGGAAGTCATCTCACATCCATGGACAAATAATAATGGAATGGCATTTTCGACAGGACTTTCCTGATGAAGGAAATGCATGTCAAGTTCTCCAAAACCCTTTACATCAATTTTGGTTGTAAATTGCGGGTACTCGTTAAGTGAGCTTTCCACACCTCTCCAATCCCAGGTCTTCCACTTCTCAGTCAATCTTTGGATTTCGGATAATGGGGGTCCTTGATCCCATCGTGAGGTTGACTCGGAAGGTAGTTCGTCAGGGAAAGTAGCTAATGAAAGTTTTGTTTGAAGGGTGTTAATCTTGTCCTGAGAGACTGAGATATGGAATGGATGAATGTCAGTCATTTTCCTATTCGAACAGATTGACTTTTATTTTGAGAATTGTAACGCAACATCCAAGATCTTAACGGAGAAGGTTACTTGTTGTTATACCTTCTCCGCCACATTTAAGCACCGCCACATCTATCTGTCTCACGCCTTTTGTGACGTCAAAATGTGATTTCATTGACAGATTGATGCCCTGCTAGATTATTGAGAGTATATTACTTTAGACTTCGTGGAGACATGTAAATGATTGAAACAGCTGATACTTACGTTTATAGATTTTGACATTACCAACTTAATCGCTGCTGCTAACTCATAGAATTATTCCTGCTAATCGCTGAAATTGTATAAGCCTGAATATACAAAGTTATGATCACAGTCCTACTACCTGTCTTATCGTATTGACGCCTTTTGCTTTGCCGCCTGTTTCTTTTCTGCTTCTGCCTTCGCTGCCGCTTCTTTCGCTGCCTCTTTTATGTCAAAATCTTCTAGTTTCGTCTCGGTTTGCCCCCCAAAATCATCGAACCTCTGAAACTCTTCCCAAGTGGTCTCAAATCGGACTTGATATGCAGCTCGAACTACCTTTCTTATTTCCCACATGAAATCATCTTGGTTATACAAGACGGTCTGCACGAACAGTAGTGCCAGTATTTGTTTTGAATCCCGAACATTGGAGTCGGGAAAGTCGCCTAATATCATCAAATACACAAATTTGAAGGCAGCAGTGCCAGCTCTTGCCCTGTGGAGCATTCTGTCATCTTGGGAAGTCTTTGGGTCCGTATACAATAAAATTGAATTCCATAGTCCCAGTAGAGACTCGGGGCTTGAAGACAAATTCTTGGCTGATATAACATCAAGCGCTTGGCAGAGTTTGTAATAATATGAAAGCTCAGGAGGAAGCATATTGAAGCAGAAATAATATCCATTTATGACTCCTTGGGCAGCTATGAATAAGTAGGGAACGGATTGATCTGGTTCGTATTCGCTCTCATAGCCAGGCTGAGTATAACTTGCATTATCTCTCGGCACCAAATTGATATACGCCCCCAACCAAGGTACCTTGGATAATTCGACCACAAAGCGGTGACTCCCAAATGATATAGTATATTTCCCCGGAGGACCTGACGCATCGATAGGAGCGACTGTTGCTTTCGGTGAAGGTGTAATCTATACCTCTTTGTATCAAACTCGGTGTAAATAGTGACTTGTGGAGCTCCTCACCTTATTTGTAGACATACTGATTTAGGAATTGCTATATAATATATCGGTATGTATTGTTTATTTGATAAGTGTGTGGAAGACCTTTTGACACCAGAGCACATGCCTTTATTTGAGATTAACTGAGGTCTTGTGGTGGCTCCTTCCCAGTACCAGGTATGCATTGAAAGAGGGAATCGGGAATGTGTGACTGAGCTCTGCATCAGCAAAAGGTATTCTGTTGTACCCAAGTTGTTTGTTAAAATCAATGTCGCCAGCCATTTTGCTCATTCAAAGCTAGAGTACACATCGAACTTTAATGTAAGAAAGGTTCTTGATCATGATCTTATAACCTACTCCAGAAACCAAAAAAAAACGGTAGATGTTATCTGTCCATGAGGTTTTCATCAATTGATTCACCACATTTCCTTTGCGCAATGCGATTCATCTTGAAAGATATTTGCATACAGATGGATGAAAGAAGCTTGTATTGGTGTCATAATTGAAATCCTCGTAAAAGTCATTGAGAATTACGAATCCCAAACAGCTGATTTTGATAGGAACAAGAGTGAACAATAGATGACTGGGTCTTGCTTGCAAATATAGAGTTGATTCATTCCTTATTCTCGCCGAGGGAGAAAGAATTGCCAGGCTTACTCAAGCGGAATTCAATGGAACCAAGCATTGCTAGATACTGCTAAGATGTATACAGACCATGCAATTTTCCCTCTCAATTGAACGACGTTGCGTTGAGTCATCGTTGTAGAGAGCTCTTACAAACTAGGAAGGTAGGTAAGTGATTGCCTCAAGAGTGCATATCAAATTAAAACTCACCTCTCTGTGATTCGGTGGATTTTGACATGTCTCCAGATCTCGCAAACCACTGCAGGACGCTATGAGCTCACTCCAATCAAAGCGCGCCTGCTACATACTCTCGAGATACTATGACAATTATTAGGATTGATGATCAAAATTGGACAGTCCAGTGAGGTAATTCTTTTACATCTCAGATTTTGGATCAGTCAATCAGATAACAGCGATAGCGACGTTGATGCATCTTAAATAGGTTAGTTCCTGGGCACGGGGCCACTAAGAGTTACCCCTCACTTAGCGCATGATTGTCGGACTACTTATTCTTTGTGTGATTCCGAACATAATTTTTCCTTTCCTCACCATCTTCCAGAAAGCTCGTCCTTTACATATCAGAAACAAACAAACGTTCGTGTCAGTCATCCTGCGCTCAGTTGGAGGGAAATACTGACATCGTCCACTCATCCTAGCAAACGACAACTCGTACCAAGTACAACTCACTTCCAACAGTTGGAAGCCATGTAATCCTTAGCATGGACATTATCCGCTCTGCGGATCAAGGTATCGCATCAATTGTATAAGTCACTCTCGCATGAACCGGTGTTCGATCCTGCAAGTCGTCAGCCTGCCTCTCATTTACCACCTTACACAGTAAGATGATATGAGAGTGCCGTTGATGAGGGGTCGTTCTGAGATTATACGGTTATATGAACTTGATCTGGATAATACCAGCGAAAGGATCATGCTCTTCCATTCCGTCCTCATGGACGTCACTAATCTCTCGCAGGTAATAACTTGAAAAATATCGAAAATGGCACCACCATCAGCATTGTTCGCCGAGGAAACATCTCCCATCGATGGAGTTCAATTGAAATCAGCCTTCGACGTTAAAGTCGAATCTTCGCAGGCAGCCACTCAAGGCAAGACACTTGCTGACCTTGCCGAGAAATGGGACCAAGGATTTACATTTGCTCCTATTCGTGAATCTCAAGTCTCGCGTGCCATGACCCGCCGCTACTTCAATGATCTCGATACATATGCAGAGTCTGATATCGTCATCGTTGGTGCTGGTTCATGTGGTCTCAGTACTGCCTACATGCTAGGCAAGGCTCGTCCTGATCTCAAGATTGCCGTCATTGAGGCTTCTGTTTCTCCAGGTGGAGGAGCATGGTTGGGTGGACAACTCTTCAGTGCTATGGTCATGCGAAAGCCTGCTGATGCCTTCTTGACTGACCTTGGTGTTCCGTTTGAAGATGAGGGAGACTTTGTTGTGGTCAAGCATGCTGTATGTTTCCAAAACTTTCTTTATCCATGCCCTTCTAGATTTTCTTAGTTTAACATGTCCCATGGTACTAACGATAGCTGTCAACAGGCTTTATTCACTTCAACTCTCTTATCCAAGGTTCTTGCGTTCCCCAATATCAAACTGTTCAATGCGACCGCCGTTGAGGATCTCATTACACGTCAAACTACCGACGGCAACATCAGAGTCGCAGGAGTGGTGACAAATTGGACACTTGTCACAATGCATCATGATGACCAGAGTTGCATGGATCCAAACACAATCAATGCTCCTGTTGTCATCTCTACCACTGGGCATGATGGTCCATTTGGCGCGTTCTGTGTCAAGCGTTTGGTTTCAATGAATCAGATCAAGGAACTCGGTGGTATGAGAGGACTTGATATGAATGTAAGGTTTCGAGGCTTCCTCATTAATGGATATACACTAACTTCAATGTTTCAGGTCGCTGAAGACGCTATTGTCAAAAGGACTAGGGAAATTGTTCCAGGTTTGATTGTCGGAGGCATGGAATTGTCAGAGGTCGATGGTGCAAACCGCATGGTAAGAACTTGACCTTCTACCAAACCAATATCACAAATTCTGACCAGCTTGTTACTACAGGGTCCCACGTTTGGTGCCATGGCACTTTCTGGCGTGAAAGCCGCTGAGGAAGCTTTGAGAATCTTCGATGAACGCAAGGCACAAAATGCCTACTAGGCGTAAGCATTGTGCATGTCAAGGAGCAGCACGTGTCTCGGTCAATATACGAGGACTATCAGGGTTCATGAAATGAATATCATGAAATGAATACAATAGCAATAAGAACATGATATTTGCTTTGAAATCTTCGAATTATTTGTCAAAAGTGTGCTTGCAACATGATTTTTTAAGTTTAGGTTTTGTGGTCTCAAAGTTGTCTATCGGATATTTAGTGTCCCGAATAACCTCCGAAACCAACGTCAGATTATAGATGAGGCCATTTTTCTTCCTCGTTGTCTACGCAGTAAAACTCTTTATCGTCTTCTAGGGTTCTCAATATTTAAATGTAATCTTGACTATAAATTGGGCTTAGAGATCTCTGTTACTACAATATCCACTTGACCAAAATTCTGCAATAAGCTTTCGGTCCCGAAAAATATGCTTGTTTTAGGTTTAGTCCACCAATTCCCCTAGCCACATACTAGGATCTTAATCCATTTCTCCCCTTCCTCATCCAATTGTAGGACTGTTTGGAATTTCACACGGATGTTGACATCCTTATTCAGGATTAAAAGGGCAAATACCGATGCGACAACCCCGCAATCGAGTAATTGAAGGTGTCGTTGCGACGGTAGTTTCTTGGCGCTGCCGGGCGGAATCAAGACATGCTTTCGCCAACGGTGAAGAACTCTGATTTAGGTAGCTGAGGACGGATATCCTTGATATTTGAAAGATACGTGCGTGTTCTACACACGGACGATGCTGGACGGTTCGGGTGAAGATTCAATGACTGGGATGAAGATCTACAGGTACAAATGAGCTGATATTCTCCTCGCGTCAGTTCCTTATTTATTTCTTTGACATTGCTTTGAACTAGATTCATCTTCATCTTCTCTCAAATCCTGATTTGCCTTTCAGTAAATTACGAAAATCATCATGTATTTCTCACCTCGAAATCTTCTAGTTCCCACCTCTCTCCTCTCCTCTGCCTTTTCAGCCACCACCCGCCATGCTCCCCGCTCAGATCTCTCTTCCCGCGTGATCCACCAGTTTCCTAATCCTACCTGGCTCGAAAATATTGTGATAACTTCCAGTGATAAAATACTCGTCACTGATATCACAAATCCCTATCTCTACTACATCGACCCTACTATTTCATCACCCGCACCAGATTCAAATGAAACTGCCACACTCATTCATTCTTTCACACCTGAATTATCTCTCCTAGGCATCACCGAAGTCGCACCCTCCCATTTCTACCTCATCACAAGAAACTTCACACTCTCCTCAGTAGCCAGCACTCTTACAGGTGTCAATACTATCTACTCTGTTGATCTCACATCCTATGTCCCCTCCACCAATAGCGGTGCCTCTGTCTCAAAAGTGGCAGTTATATCCGGCGCCGGATCTCTCAATGGACTCACCACCCTTTCCGAATCACAAAATTTGATCATCGCAGCTGATCCCATCCTCGGAGTTGTCTGGTCCATCAACGTTCTCACTTCCGAATACTCTGTTCTTCTCGACCTCGCAGAGTTGAAGCCACCCGTTTCCACTTCTTTGGCATTCGGTGTCAATGGTCTTAAAGTTTTGACTCCTACCACTGGTGATACTGATCAAGTGTACATCTATTACACAAACACGGGACTTACAACCTTTGGGCGAATTCCGTTCTCTCTTAGTACTTTGAACGTCACAGGACCAGTGGAGATCCTTACCGATGCTTATGGGGCTGATGATTTCGCGTTGGACTCCGAGCAGGGAGTTGCTTATTTGGCTTATGGAACTGGAGCCAGTGTGTTGAAGATTGGTCTTGAGGGTGGTGATGTGAGTGTGGTTATTGGTGGAGTGAATGATACGTTGGCTGGAAATGCGAATGAGACGGTTCTGTCTGGTCCAACAAGTGTTCAATTGGGCAGAGCTGGTGATGGATTGGGATGGGCGTATGTTAGTCAGAGTGGAAAGAATGAGGGTGTTTATACCGAGGGTGGAAAGGTTCTCGCGATTGACATTACTGACTCTTCTTAGATGTTAGGATTGGTTGTTGGTAAGACTTCGAGATGGATTTTAATTGTGTGATAATGAGAACGAGAATGAGAAATAGAAACGAATAATGTACTTTAGCTCATCGACCTGCACTTCCTTTCAAGTGTGTTTAGAGGGGAAAAACCTGCAAGTGTATGTGGTATTTTGAAAAAAGAAAGAATAATTACTTTCTGTGAGTGTTATCATTGCAAGTAAGCTCACGAAAAATGGTCAAGGCTATGGCAGTGAATGGAGACTAGTAATAGTCTCTCGATGAGATGAAGGTAACCTTCTTTCATCTTTTATATTATTCGAATATATGAGCGTTTTTCTAGTGAATTTCAGGCCTCGGTACCCCGCACAATTGAAATTTGACACAGAAGTTGCTTTAGAAAGGCAAGGCCTATTTTCCAGTTCTTTCAGTTGCCATACTTCTTTTATTCAACCTCCCATATTCAACAACAATTTTCCACGCTCACGCTTTACCAACATAACTTCTTCAATTAAATTCTCCGGTGTTATCTTTTCGGCAGACAAACACTTACTCCACGATGTCCTCCGCCGCAGATGCATCGTTTTTCCCTCAGTTTCGTCGGTTTCCCAAAGAAATACGTCTTTCCATCTGGGAACACGCAATTCCTGAGCCGCGCATCGTTCACGTCGTTCAAGATGCAGCTACACGAGCAATGAAATCATACACTTCGATCCCTACAATCCTCCACATCAATCATGAATCGTTCTCTGTCGCTTCAAAACAATATCACCGTGCATTTCGTTGCTGCAAGCCTGGACAGGACAAACCAGATAAGGATGTATCTTATGTGTGGTTCGATTTTGAACGAGACTTTCTACTGATTGATTACACCATGGCTGGTGAGCTTTGGCCCTCGTCAGAGGATTGGTCTGCTACTAGTACGAATCCTCTTCGTTACACTTCCGTAAGATGGTTCCCGGATGACGAGGTGAAGCGCATCAGAAACCTGGCTTGGTATACGAATCCATCCTGGGTTGCTGAGGATGAACATATCTGGAGACTTTTTACTGGATTGAGACAATGGTTCCTGGTTCAAGAACTCATGGGTTGTGGAAATGTTTTAGAGCCACGCAGCGTCCACAACTCAAAACCTTCCATTCGTAAGATTGAACAGTATCATCTTGCACCTTCATATGACTTATCGTTCTGGGATGTAAGTGGCGAGGAAGATGTCAATTTTGAGCTATGTATGAGGTTATTCGACATAGCCAAGAAGGCGCCTCAACCTATGTTAGAACCTCGAGAACTTCTTCGTTATCCGACTACTACCTCGAGGCGCATAAGACAGGCATTGGAATTTTCCATAAACGTATGATCCCCACCTATACAAAGTCAGAAGTTCCTTGACTGACACGTAACAAACAGCGTTCGCATCTCAATAATACACCTCTACCCGAGATTACACAAAAAGTCATGCTCAGCCCCAGCTAATAAATAAGTTCATGGAGGAAAAACTACGCTATGAGGCACACATCTTGGAGAACACCCAGAATCACGAGGAGCACAAGGCTGAAAATTGTAATTGCCACACGACAGGTAAATACTGGCGCAGCGAAATGAAAACTATGGCACGCCATCTCGATACACCTCGGCCGCTGACGCGAGGTAATACAAGAAGTCGAGTTATCAAGTCAAGAGGTCGAAATTAAGCAAACATCTCGTTTTTCCATTGCCATGAACTACCGCATGGTCGCAGACAATCTAATCGCAACTGCCAAAAAGAATTTGTCCCAATGTTGCTGGTCAGAGTTTCCGGGAAGTTATGCTATGGAAGATATCTCCATGTTGGCTATCTCTGCAGGCAGAGCGGGAGGGCAAGCATGTTTGGAGTTTTTGACCGGATGATCAACAGGTTTAGGATATTGGTATGGAAGACTTTTTGAGACATTAAGTGATATAATTCAAGATTTTACTACAAATTTGATCGTTGGCCTCATATTGTGAGATTCGACTGCAGAGCATACTCCTTTTTGTTGGACCCGCAAAGCAGTCAGCATTGATGGTAGCGACAAATCATTACTTTATGTACAATAGCATTAAATTACTTGAAATCTTCATAATCAGCTTTATCGATATCTCCTGGGTTTATAACAGTCTGCTATGTAGTTCCACAATAACTTCAGCGTGCAAAATACTGAATCTGCCTCTCATGTTTTTCGCCAACAATATAACTAACCTAAGCGGAATAAAATGCGAGATCCCATTCTAATTAATCCCCGAATTTTACTCGCCATCACTGATAAAATGTGACGCCTCAATAATGCTCTGTGTATTCCTCATTATCTACTAGGTACGTCTCTCACCACGTGAGTCTCGATCTTAGCCTCTGGACAGATTCAGTTAAAAAGCTTAGCTCCGACGACTTCGATGTCTACCAAATTTCATAGCTTGTGAATAGAATATGGAGAGAGAATGCTTTCAATGATTTTGGGGACTATATTGGGTGATGTACAGTAGACCAGAGACAAAGAGGCGTCATATTCATGATCATGGAAGCAAAACCTCATTCGGTGGTCAAGAGACACTAAATTCTGTTACCATTACTGTGCTATGACTGATATCAGAGCAAGCATATCAAGCCTTCGGGACTGAGCATCTAACTTGCGGCTATTCAATGTCAGCTTGGAAGCCCTTATCAGTTTGGAAGTCTCGAAACCCGACAAACTTCACGTTTATAAGAAGGGATGGAATGATGTCTATCACATCTTCGACATCCTCAGGAATTAAATTTTGCTACTCCTTAAGCATACAGAAACTCGGATCTTGGAGCATTTTTAATCAAGACTTTCGCGCTAGGGTTTGTAATAGTGGGTCATTCGCTAAAATAATATGAGAGTGAAGGTATGCCAGACCCACTTATTACTATGAACATTCTATTACGTGGTAGAAAAGAAGTGAATAGCTTCAGATGATACTACCTAACTTTCCAACAAAACGGTTGGTGTTCTTGAGCTGTTTTTTTTAAAACATGTTTTCGGCCAAATCAGTTCTCCCTCGATGCACAGAGCTTAGACGATGACTTTGCAGAATTTTATTGATGAGAATCCACAATTTGGTCAAATTAATGGGAATTCGATTATAACACTGAATGGGGAAGAGACTGGCTTGTTTTACTTTCAGAAGATTATAGGAATCTTCATCTGATAGTAGGTAACTATGATCAGAAATATGAGAATATGATAGGACGGTAGGAGACAAACATTGTATTTGGTAGCAATAACGCATGTTACACATCCCAAAGAACGGGAATGCTTTTCCAAAGCATCCCACACGGCTCTTCACACGATTGTTTTGACAAACGGTTTTCCTTGCTAAGTATTTGCGTGGTTGAAATGCACAGATTCAATCCCTTTGAAGTCAAGTTAATAACTGATCAAAATCCTGGTAACATTTTGGTATGTTTCACATTGGAGTGAGTGAGTGAAAACTGTGAATATTCTAAAGCTTGCAGGAAAATCAAAGTGGCGAGTCGAGAGGTCTTCTGTCGGAGCTTCTCGTATTCTGTAATGGTTAATAATAGATCAGATTATATAGTCAGATGGCCTATGGAACATATTTTAGTATCAGACAAGACCTTTGACTGTGAAAGTATTCCGCTGTCTCCTTCCAGTGTATGAAAGAGGATATTGAAAAGAGAAGAAGGAAAACGAGATGAAGAAAGGAAAAGAGGAATGGTACAAAACATCGTATGTAACACATATCCACAGGTCATATGTGGTGAGTAGAAACACAACTTGGATATTCGACGGTACCATCAACTATGGTACCTCAACATAATCTGCCAGCGGACGCTCCCAAGATAATATTCGTAAACGTAACTGACTGCAACCTTCTGGAGTGCATTCTGTCACGTGTTATGTTTGTCGCAAACTTAAGTTATTGTGGCTCACCATTATCAATTCACTTTTCGGCAAACACATTTGCTGGATAAAATATTAAATCGGCCCGCGTAGAGTATCGAACACTCACAGGCTGCTGGCTCAATGGTAGAGCACCCGCTTCGCATTTTCAACAAATGTGTTAGCAACGGCTGGTGTGGTGGGTAATACTTGAACATCTTGGGAACCGAAATCACCCCCTGGGGAGCCTGAAACACACCAAGTTACTAGAGGATGCGTTACCCGGTTGAAGAGGCAGTCTTCATCGATCATTATCACCATATGTTGATGCGATGTATCTCCGGGGTTCTTCTGTACCAGAAGATCACTGGACGGTTGATGAAAGTTAGGTGTTGTGGGTCTCCCGCCTATCTTTCAAACGATGCCGCCGTCGGACATAGATAATAGACACCTTGGGAACAATGAGTCGTACCACGCTTTAAGCAGATTCACCTTCGGTAAAAAGAGCCTATGGGTCTAAATTATCTTTCCTGATAGACTATCATGGTCGATTCAGGCTCTGAGCCCTCACCCCTTAAGTGTGGCACTGGGTGTTCGCTGGTTCGATTCCAGCGGAGCGAAGTATCGGATAACTAGCTCACAGACAGCGTTATCCCCTCAGATGAAATAGTGACCTTTTTGTTCCCGACAAAGATTTTGCATTACTTATTTCTCTTAACATAAGTGAAGGATGGAAGTTCTCTTTTGCCATCATTATCACTACCTACCTAGTATGTACTAGAAGTGATGACTTTCCAAGATAGGCATAAAAATGGGATCGTAATACTTTTGAACTCAATCAGGTGAAATATAACATGATATTGCGACCTAGGTACATGTGAGTCATTTAACATTTATTTTAGTCCACGATCGAAGAGACTTGATGTTTTGTTAGATCATGCCTTAGGTAGTGTTTGATAGTATCGTCTTTTTCGTTTTATTATCTTTGAATTCTGTCATTTCTTAACCTTATTATGTCGCTGGGGGAAAGAGATATCTATACTAGTATTTTGTAAATGATTTATGCTCAATATCATCTCACAGTATCGTAACCTGCGAGTTATAATGTATTACTGCATATTCGATGATGAGTTGCGCACATAGATCTATGCTGATATCTTTCCTTCTTCAATTTTACACGATCTTGTTTGAATATGACAAACATCCGCTCGTGGAATATCACTCTGTCGTTACTGGACTTCGTTCGCCCATCAAACACTTCGAAATTCGATTCGGGCCCTTCGATTATCTATCCCAACTTTCTGGAAGTACCTGGATCTAATCCTTTAATAAATAAAGCGGTTCATTGGGAGAAATCGGATCAAGCTGCACGTTGTTAATCTGCTTTGGATATTCGAGTTTGGTGGGAATAAGGGTTCATAGTATCAATCTCTTTGTTTGCAATAGAAACACGTGTTAAATCATTCACTACTGTGATCGTCACATGGGATCCTTCAAAAGTCCGAAGCTTGAGCAAATCCTGCGATTATTTCAGAGCGCATAATCTACAGATTGCAGGATCAGATTGACTGAAACTTCGCCACTTTGTGCCCATTAATACAACCTGCAGATATTATGGGCATTGATGACTATTCATTTTATTGCAAAAAACAGTCTGAATATAAATAAGAGCCTGCGCCCGACGGTGGACGGGAGATTCACCTGAATATCTGCGAATCTGGATGCTCCATAGATTACCTAGGTAGAGCTTATTCTTCTTGGAAAATGAATTCTGTAAATTGCCAGCCTATGCCGATACAAGAGTGACAGGAGGTTGCGGAATCTCAATTGTAAAATGAAGGGAGAAATTACAGCAAAAGAAGCTCGTAGCTGTATATTTCATTTATTATCATGAGAATCGCAGATGTCATTTTTGGCCTCAGTGCTATATCAGGTATTGTTTTCTTTTGACAGTTTTCTATATTTTCCAAATATGAGGTTTCCTAGTCGGTTTTCTTCAACATCCTGTTCTGGTTATACAAAGCTCAGACGGAGGTTCTCGTAGCATCGAAGAATAATATGAAGGTTTGGTGCGGAGTTATTGTTGGTTTAAGAGAGATACGGAAGACGTAGTTCCTACTATGTGTAGACCCCTAAATATCTATTTATATTCAATTTAAAGAGCTAGCTAAATGAGGGAAATAGTAGGCTTTATATAGATATTATTAAAAGAACTAGTCTTTTTTACTTTTGTTTAATATTTTTAATACAATTATTATTATATTAAAATAAATCCTTTAAAATAAATTCCCTTAAATAAATTCCTTTGTTTATATACTCGGAATTTTCTTTTATAGTTTCAAATATAATAATTGAAAAGAAATTTATGAAATTATAAATATTCTTTATTTATTAATTAAAGTCCTTAATCTTTTATTAATAGAACCAATCCCTTTCTTCCCTTAATTCTGTTTTATCTATTTTATTATCTTAATATCAATCTTATTTGTATTAATTAGATTAGTAAGAACTTAATATAGTTTTCCTTTTGTTATTACATTGGCTGAATTAATCGGATTATCAATTCAGATCACTTTAACAATCTCTTTCTAC